AAATTGTTTTTTTTTTTTAAAAAAAATGTAGAAAGAGGGGATTTTGGAGTGGAGGCAGAATAGGAATAGGAAGTAGCAAGACAGCGCAGGAAATCATCGGATAAAGAATCTAATGCACATGACAGCTCATCCCAACCCAAACCCCACACCATGTTTTCCCTTTTTTATTTTTTCCATATTTTTTATGTGAATTTATTTTTTCCCCATTTTTTTTCCTGTTTTGTTATGGGTATTTCTTTTTTTTTTTTTCCTTTTGGAATTTGTTGTCACTCTGTGCACTCCTTTTTTCTTCAAAATTTTTCACTTTGGTCCGTGAAAATACCATATTATCCACATGAATAATCCAACTCGTTAAACTATACTCCCATCAAAAAACAAAACTGGTTAAACTATACTAAAAACAGTCAATGATTATTGAAAATTGAAGGCTTTATTTGTTTAGTTAGGAAGTAATAATTAGTTTGGTAGTTTATAAATTGTACGAATGAGAGTATATATTTAAATTATAAACAATAACTATAAATTGCCGTATATGACTATCATCTATGAACTGCATTTTAATATGCTAATTTGATATGATTGAAGTATTTCAAATCATGAAGTGGGATGAAGTATCTAATTATTCAATTACCTTAGCAATATAATTTCTTTTTGTTTTTAAGAATCTTGTATAAAATATATGGTTGTCACAATACATGTTCCAAAATTTCTGATTAGTTGACATATAAAAAAAGAATGGATGCATACTTTTTTAAAGTACTCTTTTTCAAAAACCATAATTAAGGTTAATTGAAGGGAGATTAGAGAATTAATCTTGAGCATAATGTGTTGTCTTTGCTAAAGTACAAAATTTTGCACCCATCATGAGGTTAGGGCGGCCGAATAAAAAAAAAAATTTAAGGTGCTCTAATCATTTTAACTTTCCTTATATTTCAAACCAACAAAATGAAACATTACAATCTCATAGACAGCCGATACCCACCAGGACCCACTTTCTTTCTTTAAAAAAACTACTGTAACCCTAATTTGAATCATGTAACATATAAACATAATCATAATGAATTATCTTAGCAACACATACCCAACCGCATCTTCATCTCTATCATCTCAAACATATTTAATTCAACAAAATAATTAATGACAATAAAGTAAAGAAAAACAGAGAAATAGATATCTAACAACTGCGTACTCTACTTATCTTCCCTTGGTTACTTTAAGAGAAATTAATTTTTGATACAAAGGACAACTTTCATTAGCCTTCAATTGCATTATGTTGTTTTTAATGCCCCAATCTTAAATAAAGTGATACACATTAAACACACTTATCTTCTTATCTATGTAGCTTGAACATTCACAATGTCTCTTTTGGATCATAGGACTTTTAAAATTACTTTTTTCAATTGTTAATTAATATTTAATTTTTAATTATTGTTGTTAGTTATAATTCAAGCACATTTATTTTTCCTAATATTTCCTACCCGATAAATAGGTAAATGCATATGTTGTTTTAAAGGTTTTTTGATTTTTTTTTCTAATTAGGATAAATGTACACATAACTTTTATATTCATCATTCTTATAAAATTTAATTATTTTTTATTATAAACAATTTAGATTTATTTATTTTTATCATATTTTTTTTAAAAAAAAATTATCTTTTTTATTTAAAAAATTATATTAAGTCTCAACTATAGACTTATAGTAAAGAGATAAATTATTAAAATTTTATATAAAAAATATGTATATAAATTATATATAAATAATTTTTTTTTCAGAAATCACATTAAATATTTTGTATAAATGTTGCATTAAATTTACCTGTAGTGCCAGCAAAGGCAAGGAGCTAGCCAAGGACAGTGGTCACACTGAGAATTACTGTTCATACATCATGCCCTCTTTGTTTGGTTTTCCATAACTGAAGGATTCCTGATGGAGACCTCTCCTTCCTTCCCCTTTTTGCTTTTTTACAATTTGGTCCTTTTCCAACCAACAAAATTTAATTTAAATTACATCATATTCACAAAAATGATAGTATGACAGCCCTGTCAGAGATTCTATCCATCCCCCACTTGGCTTACTTTCCTCACAATACACAAACCAACTCTTAATTACTACTGGTCTGTGCACATCCCAATTCATACACCAACTGTCAAATTAATTTCCTACCATTGAAATCCTCATTTCTTTCTGTTCCCATGAACTTTCCCTTTTTGACCTTTTACACCTTAACTATTTACCCCCTGACCCAATAGAAATAAATAGTTAAAAAGCTGCAAACTTTTCAGTAAATTTCAGTTTCATCCGCTTAGATGGTGGAGGGTGAAAGTGAAAACAGGTTAAAAGTAAGCTTTACTTTAGTAGCCCTTGCATTTTGGTACATTCGTACTTCACCCCATTACTAGAAAGTTTCATGCATCATTGTCAACTTTGATAGGGCACCCTAATCCTCATGCCTCATGCACCCTTACCAGCTAAGCATGTGGGTACATTTGCGGTCATACATGCACACAACCTAGCTACTTCTTCATCAGCAGATCTCTTTTAATATAGAGGAGGTTTTCATAGTGGTGTTGGATTTTATTTATCTTGCGTTCAATCTAAGTGAAAGTGACAATAACTAATTAAATTGTATTATTTTTTCCCTCTTTTGGCTATTGTGTATTTGTGAGTTCTTACACATATTTAAGAACAATAATTCATCTTAATATTTGTAACAAAATCAATTTACACAAAATCTTATTTCATAATATCCTCCTACATATATACTTAAGTGACATCAAATAAGTAAATACATAATTATTAACTTGCCTAATGATCAATGAAAAGAACAAACTATATATGATCAAAAATGTTATGGTTATAATGTTATGTGGTATTATAAGTTACAATTTGATGCATCGTTATATAATTAATTTTTTTCATTTATGAATCTGTTTATAATATTATATACATTCATTTATTTAACATCACATCATATTCATTTAATATCATTTTATAATTGTAAATTACTTATAATCTATGTGACATTATAACTATAGTATTGTCAATATATAATTATTATTGCATATAGAAGATTGCAAAGATCTATTATGAGATAATATTGTATATACTTCATCATTTTTTTTTTATCTCTAATTAAAATTCGAATGACTTGGAGTTTAGAATCAATTTAATTAAAAGATTTGTTTTTTGGTAAATCAACATTTTATAGGTTTATAGGGAGTTAACTTTGTCTTTCTTGAATGTGCCCACTAACAAACTTGTGGAAGCATACCATAAAGGTTTATATGGAAACGTTCTTTAGAGTATGCGTATGTTGCCTATAAATTAAATTTGAAAATTGGCACTATTTAGAATTAAAGTTCAGGGGCTTTGAACTCTTTCAGGAGATAACTTCCATTATAAAATTGGAAGATGTAACATCTCGTTTTGGCCTACCAATTTTTAGAATACAATGAATTTTCCTCTAAAATAACACTTTCAATCCCCACCTTTCCTTTTTCAATTAAAAGCATGAAGTGGGAGGATAAAAAAAGGGAAAAAAAAAGCCCAATATGTCACACTTTACATATCATGTGATTATAATTTGTTGATAATATTCATTGATAATAAAATTTCATAATAAAAAATATTATTAACATAATTTTTACAATACCATATAATAGATATATTTTTTTTAAGTAAAAAAAGAAGAAGAAAAAAGAACAAATATTTAATGTGGTTATAATCATTTATTATTTTATTAATATTATTTAAAAATTATTTAGTTTAATTAATATTTTATTTATTTAAAATTTGTTAAATAATTAATTATGATATCTAAAAATATTAATTTATAAAATAAAATTTAAATTTTTAAATAATAAATATTGATTATTTTTAATAATTAAATTAAGTTAAATTAAATAGGATTATGTTATGGTTTAATAGTGGGATGGCGATGGTGAAGTAATGATTATAGGGATGTAGATTAAATTAGACCGCACATGCATGTCACGTGTGCTGGACAGTCTGACCCTGTTTTAGTAAAGTATTTGTCGTTCTTTTTGAAATTTACGGCGGGAAAAAAAATATCAAAAGTGAAATTTTTGGAGCAGAAATTTTTTTTTTTTGGGGGAAGGAGTCTGCTGTGGCCGGTAGTTGGGTCAATGCCACGTGCTGGAAGGACGCGTGACAAAACAGGAGCCCAATTATGAAGGTGTGGGACCCATCCGACATGTTCCCTTATCCGTAAATCGCACATTGATTTGAGCTTTGAAAGCTTAACACTCGTTTATCTCGTGACGTTAACAGCTTAACGGTTTGCTCGATCCTTGAGCACAATAACGTGTTATGTTATAGGCCTTTCGAGCTCTGTGAAGAATTATTTTAAA